GGTTCATTCTTCTGATCAACAACTTCCCCTTAACCAAATGGCGGTTTCAGGGACTCAGAACTTGCAACCTATTCCAAATTTGAACTCCCCCACTGAGGAAGTTTCCTTCTCTGACAATTTCCCCTTTGTTACTGACATTGCCTCGGCTAAGGTCAGCTCCCCACATTTTCCTACTTCCCCCGGCTTGGCTGCTGTGATTGCAAATCCCCCTATCTCTTCTCCCAACAGGTTTGCTATCCTGCAACCTGCAGAGGAGGAACCACCTGAACCACCTGATAACGATCCTCCCCTGTCCACTTCTCTCCTTTCTGAGAAACAAGGCACTACATTACAGAACAACACTACCAATATTCCTAAAAAACTGTAATATCAGAATCTGCTCCAGGTTCTGGGAAAGGGAAGGAAGTTCAGGAATAAATTTTAGAGTCTGATCTGTGATAGGTACTTTTGATTTTTGTACAGTCATGGCTTTTCTGTTCTGTCTTTCCTTTCTGTCTAAAAGCCATGTACTGTATTTGTAGATGATTGTTTTGAGGAAAAAGAAAAAGATAGATGTTTTGTTCCGCTGTGTTTGATGATTTATAGTAGCTCTGTGTCTATTTGAGTAAATTATTTGGAAGATTCAGTTCCGAACCAAATTCCAAAGCCAGATTCTGGTCAGTCAGTTTGTTCGTTTCCGTGTCGCGACCCGGTGCGAGCGGGATCCGTCCCGGATCGGGTCGGGTCATGACAAAAACAGCCCACCCAGCCAATTGTCACCAAAGGGAAGAGTGCTAAGAAGACTAGGTCTTCTAACTCTAATCGGAAATGACCCACTGTCCCATGGGCTGCTGGAACGTTAGGGGATTTAACTCCCTTGATAGAGTTCTGGCTTGTAAGAAACTGGTTTCTGTTCATCACCTTGACCTGCTCTGCATTTTAGAAGCTAAGGTGCCTTTGGGCTCCGTTTCGGACTATTGGTTTATTAACTCGCACAAGATTTTTGCTGATGAAGACTCTTGCAATAATTTTGGGTGCTCTAACCCTGGGAGGATTTGGGTTAAGTGGAATTCCAGGACTATCTCTTTCCTCCCCTTGCACTCTTCTTCCCAATTAATTCATGGGGTGGTCAATCACGTGAATTCCCCTAATATGCCACCTTTTATGCTCTCCGTCGTTTATGCTGCTAACTCCCCCTCTGAGAGAGCTTCCCTTTGGCAGCAGCTTATTGGTATTTCCCCCAGTGTTGCTTCCCCCTGGATCATCCTGGGAGATTTCAATTGCTGTAGGTTGGCTGAGGAAAAGTCTGGGGGCAATCCACTGAACAATGGGCGTCTTTTAGAGATGAATTCGTGGATTTTTAACACGGGTGTGCTTGAACTTCCCTCAACTGGCCTCTTCTTCACCTGGTATAATCAAAGGGTTGATGACCCTATCCACATTAAGTTGGACCGAGCTCTTGTCAATGCTGAATGGTTGGATCACTTTCCTTCATCTTTCTGCAAGGTTGAACCCCCTTCTTGCCCGGATCACTCCCCGTTGGTGATCTTGCCTGGGATCTGTTCTAAAGTTAATGCCAGGTTTCAATTTAAGCATTATTTGCTTAATTTGGATGGTTTTTGGGATGGTCTGGTCTCAGTTTTTGCTGCTCAGAACTCTGGAAGTCCTATCTCGGCTTTTTACTCTAAGCTTCATAATCTTAAAAACTTTATTAAATCCAAGAAGTGGTCTAACTCTTCTTACATTTCGAGTAAAATTAAGGAGCTTTCTTCTGCTCAAGCTCACTATATGGCACTTCTCCAACATTCCCCTCTGGACCAAAACCTCAATGATACTATTCATAACATTAACTCCTCTCTTTCTTGCCTTCATAAGAGTTGGAGTTCTTGGTTGATTCAACGGGCTAAAGCGGATTGGCTTACTAGAGGGGAAGATGATTTGGGCTTCTTGTTTGCTAGGATCAAAGCTAGAAAATCTTTTTGCCGTATTAATGAGTTGTCTACTATGGATGGGCATTTTTCTGATCCTGGGAGTATTGCAGCTGCGGCTGTGGATTGCCACTGCGGCTGTGGGTTACTTTCAGCAATTGTATAATAATCCTAATGCTCATTTTCTGGGCAACTCCTCTATTCCCATTGGTCAGACTATTCCTCCTCACTTGGTGGCTTCTCTTACTGCCTCTGTCACTGACTTGGAAATTCAAAATGTGGTTTTTTCGACTTCTAACTCAAAGGCTCCGGGACCGGATTGGTTTACTTTTGAATTTTATACGGATTCTTGGAACCTTATTGGCAATCAAGTTTGCAAGGCCATTAAACACTTCTTCTCTACTGGATTCCTTCTGAGGTCTGCTAAGGCCACTGCAACTGCTTTAATACCTAAAGGGTCTCATGCTAATAATATCCTTGATTACAGGCCTACGAAGCAATGTGTTTTACAAAATTATTGCCAAGACTCTTTCGAATAGACTGAAGGATGTTATGCCCCATATCATTCATGCTAGCCAATCTGGCTTTATTAACAAGAGAATTTCTTCTGATAATATCGTGCTTGCCTCTGAACTTTTGAGTGGTTTCAATAACACTAGGGGAAGAAGTATTTCTGTGCTAAACTAGATATACAGAAAGCTTTTGATACTGTTTCCCGGGAGTTCCTTCTGTACAGGCTTGCTAAGAAAGGTTTTTCTCCGTTATTTGTGGATTGGATAAAAGGCTGTATTGAGGATGTTTACTTCTCTGTAGTCATAAATGGGGGTCTAGAGGGGTTTTTTCCTTCTTCATCTGGCCTTCGACAAGGCTGTCCTTTATCCCCCATGCTTTTTTCGGTTGTCATGGATGCTTTCTCTTGTGCGCTAAATGCTAGCAATTTCATCGGGATTTCCTTGAATGGTTTTCTGGTTAACCACCTCCTCTATGCTGATGACATACTTGTGTTTGGAGAGGCTTCCCTTGATAATGCTACCATCCTTAATAATGTTTTATCTTCTTTTGATATGGAGTCTGGGCTAGCTGTTAATTATTCTAAATGCTCTATTTTGTTTTCTAGCCATACTCCTTTAGCTAATGAGATCACCCAGCTGCTTGGCTTCTCCCCCACTGCCAATCCCCTTACTTACTTGGGACTCCCCATTTCTCCCAAAAAGCTTAAAGCCGCTCACTTCCAACCACTACTGAGTAGGATTTCTACTCTACTTGATGGTTGGAAAGTAAAATTCTTGTCTTTTGCAGGTAGAATTTAGTTCTTAAAGTTTACTATTATGAACACGATTGCATATTGGATTAGAGGAGCTGTAATACCGAAAGGGATTTGCAAATGCATTGAGAAAGTTTGTGCCACGTTCTTATTTCATGGGTCTCATCAAGGCAAGAAACTCCATCTTGTGGCTTGGCATAAAACCTGCCTTCCTAAGGAGCTGGGAGGGCTCGGGCTTCCTTCTATTGCCTCTCTCACCTTTGCTTTTGGCTGTTCCTTTCTCTGGAGGTTTTATAACACTAACTCTATGGCTGCTGGTTGGTTTAGGCACAAATACCTTTCCCCTTGGAAGCCTTTTGGATCCAAGGCTTCTAAATATTGGAAGGTCATCTCCCTTACCGCTTATAAGATTAAAGATAAGCTGACTTTTAATGTTACCGGGGAAAATTGTGTTCTCTCTATGCTTTGGGATCCCTGGTGTCATGGCAGTGCTGTGAGAGAGTTTGCTCATCTGGATATGTTAGATGGTCGGGTTTGTGATTTCATCTCGGGAGGCTCCTGGTCTCTCCCTTCTCTTTTGAGCCAAGGGGTTGTGTGTAGAATTTCTTCTACACCTATTTTGGATCCCTTGCTCCCCCAAGTATCCTGGATTGGCTCTGTTAACCCGACCTTTAAAACCTTCCACAAGCAGTTTTTTCTTGAGTATAATGAAGTTCCCTGGTTCAAATTCATTTGGCACAAACATTACGCTTTGAGGTTTTCTTCCTATACTTGGCTTGCTCTGGTTGATGGGCTTAAAATGGCGGATGTGTTTGCTAAAAGGAACATTTTCATTCCTTCCTTATGCTCTTTTTGCAAGAATGAGGATGAATCGGTGTCACACTGTTTTTTTCAATGTGACTTCACTTTTGCGCTTCTCTCTGCTCTCATTCCTGCCCTTTGCTCTTTTTTGCTTCACCCCACGTTATATCAGGTGTTTGAATTTTTGGATAATTTGCAAAACATGAAACGTTTTGAAAAAATTTTTTGCTACTTTGTTATTTGCTGTTCTCTCTATCATCTGTGGAGAGAACGTAACGAGAGGAGATTTGGGCACCCTGGAAATTCTATAGATGCTTTGCTCAAGAAAATTTGTCATGCCATTGGTGCTAGAACTGAAAGCTGGAAACAGATTGATCGGATTAAGCAGTCATTTCCCTTCTGCTTTTTGGAACTCTGATCTGCTGTGGCCTTTTTGGAATATCTGTCTGATGGAATTTTTGGTGGAGCTTTTGGTACTCCACAACCGGACGATGATGAGTAGAACTAACTTTTCTCAGGGTATTGGTCTCTCCCTTTGGATGACTCGCTGGGAGCTGTGGAGAAAATTGGATGGGGGGTTACATTTTGGCACTCTTATTATTAGCAGTCGAGCTTCTCTGTTTTTTATGGAAGATGTGGTCGGTTTTTGGGTGTTCTTGGAATCGCAGTCTTCTGGTGGGCAACCAGTGGAGGGTGGATTTCGTGGAACTTGATTTTGTTAAGCTCTTTGCTTATTTCGTTAGTTCTGTATACCTGAGTCCGGTTTTTTTGTCCTCCTCTTCTATACCGTTGTATTTTTTAGGTGCATTCTTTTTGTCCCCTTGTATTGGGGTTTGGTTCTTTTTGTAATGGTTAGTTTTTAATATACGGGCAAATGCCCAAAATTTCCCCAAAAAAAAAAGGGCTTTTCTAATTTTAGAAATATTTGGTGATAAATTTCAGATGAAGTGCTCCATCAAATAAGACAAAGAAACGGTCCATTAGTACGTACTTATCTTGAAGTTGCTATCATTTTGGTGATAGCTTAGTCCCTTTATCTGTGGGACCCGTCTGAGCATATTAAAAATTTTATCACATCAACAAAATGAAAATTTTATTCTCAAAAATAAAATCTATAAAATAGTTTTGAAAGGAGAGAGAGAGAGAGAGAGAGAGAGAGAGAGAGAGAGAGAGAGAGAGAGAGAGAGAGAGAGAAGTTTTTTTGAAAGATGATTGATAATGGCTTAAGAAATATGAGTTATGAAAGCTGCAGAGCAACTTAAGATAAGTTTAACTATGAGAATAGAGGGTTTTTAATTTTTTTTTTTATGAGAATAGAGGGTTGTTGATGGAGTTTCTTAGAGATAAATTAGGCTTGATTTGGGACGATTTTTTTATTACTTCTAAAAAGTCGTCTCAAACGAAGTCTACATTAAGAGTTTTTGAGCATAATAGAGCTTGGTTTGTTAAGAAGTCAAATGCAACTGGTAATGCAAGAGCTAGTAAGTTAATTTAGTTTAAATTTATTGCATCTTTAAGGGATGTCAAAACGGGTCAATATGTCGGGCTCAGGTCCAACTAGAAACTGTCCTGATTAGAATCCAATCAACATGAATATGCTAGTTTAATAAACATGTCAAAAAGGTGAACTAGAACTCGTCTCGATAACCCGTTTTAATTAAAAAAATTCTCTTCCAGCACCTACTAATGCAACATATATTTCTCTACTCTTTTTCTTTTGGAAGACATTTAGGTTAATTAAAACAAATTCACACATATCATATGTCATAGCCCAAACTCTTAACTATCGAGATATTGTCCGCTTTAGCCTAAAGCCTCACAGTTTTGTCCTATTGATGTAACTTTCCAGTAGGTCACCTATCCCAGAATTGTTCTGGGATGAGCACGCTTAACTGCAGAGTTTCTTACGAAAATTTAACAGGTTTCATATCATATATGTAAAACTTAAACCTAAGACAATTGATAATCAAAACTCTTACTAACAGATCAAATGAGTTGCATCATTACTCTTTTTAGTACTAATTAATTCTATACATTTCAGTACCAAGAAGAACAACGTAACTACTGTAAAGCAGGCTAAAACTCCCTTTAAAAAAATGCAGCTGAGATAGTTATAAGAGATTGTCGGAAGAATGGCTTAGATATGCCCTACCGAAGCTTTGCCACAGTTCCATTTGCAGCATTTTTTTTAAGGAATTGTCATCTTATCATTGGATAACGGTTTCGATCAATAGCTATCTTCTTACCTGCAGCGACCAAATAGGAAGAATCAAACAACACCTGTCCTAACTGGATAGGTTACTGAGTGGAGAGAGAGAGAACAGTAAAGGGATGCAAGAGTCAAGCAGACTCGTGAGCTGGCTGGAGCTTGGCTCGAAAAATTACTTATGAGCTGAGCTCGATGGGCTAGCGAGTCAAACTTGAGCTTGTCCCTACTCGACTCGTTAGCTCACGAGTTGACTCGGTTAAAAATATTAATATAAAGTATAATTTAAATATATTATGATTCAAGATTTTATGTACAAAATTATTAAAAATATTTAAAAATTATATCTCATTATCTTATACTAAATGATTCTTTTATTATTTTTTTATAGTTTTTTAATTACTAAATTTATTTTAAAAAATAATATATTTTCTTACACTTATCTCATAATATATTTGATGAATAAAAAATTATCATGAGCAATTTTTTATTAAATACTTAAAAAACTTTTTACTTTTATTTTTCTATCTATAAAAATATAAAATTGTTTGAATTCCTGACATTTCTTCAGTAAGATCCGGTATCAGGAAGATCAACCTTATCTATTTCCATTTTTTTTTTAAATTAAATTTGGAGTAGAGGTGTCAATAATTAACTTGATCAACCTGATCCAACAAGAGAAATTCAGATTCAGGTACCCGTTTAATAAATGAATTAGATTTGACTCCATTTTTTTTACATGTTTTTTAATTAGGTTTAGACATTAATATATCTAAAAAAATTGGTTAGAAAATATTAGAAATGATCTTTCTTTATTAGATTTAAATGAGAATTTAACTTTTAACAAGACACAATAGAGAAAAAGGAATCATGTAGCCGACCCCACGTAGTGAGACGAAAGCTTGATGTTGTTGTTATTGTTGTTTATTAAATAGTCTGAATTAAGCTCAACACAGGAACCCATTTTTTATAAAAAAAAGACTCGTTTAATATATATTTTTTATTTTTTATTCATTCAGATATAATCTTAATATTTTTTTTAACCAAATTAGGTTAACATGTTGAATTTAGATTATTCATGTTTCGAGCGAATTAGATTTAGATTGATATTTTTGGCACTTTTTTAAAACGAATCAAATTCGGGTTGAGTGGATTTGAAATTGAACCAAACCCTACAAAGGAGTCCCATTAACCAACATACCAGAGTCTAAATAAGCTTTGCTATGCCTCTTATGGACAGAAACCATATAAAATTATTTCCTCAAAAATATTTAAATAAAAAATTCTTTATTTTATTAATTTTTATATTAAAAATTGCATTTCTTTAGAAAATATAAATCTTTATCAGTAATAGTACGAAATGCAATAATAAAGACCTACAAGAATTTCTATTAGAAATTTCATATATAATTTCAAGCCCTCGCACTTCTAAAAAATAAAAAAAAAGAAGAATTACATACATTGATAAATGTTTTAGAGCACTGCACAAAGAAAATAAGAAAGTAAGAAAAAAAAAATTAATAAAGAGTGTTATATGTAAGACATGTAGCAGTAATAGAAGCTATACAGATCAACAGAGAGGGAAAGAGAGTAATATTAAGAAGCAAGTCTTCCCTTAAATAGCCAGCTAATGTGATAGTGGCATCAGCAACAACCCTGGCCAAAGTTCCTGCTTCAGTTGAGAGTAATCCGCCATTAAAGGTCCCACGAGCAAGCCTTGATGACATTATTCTGGATAGAAGAGATAGGTTGACGCCTGCAACATTTTTATTCAAAGATTTAATCAAGTTGATCATGAGGCTATAAAAATAGGAAAATTATTAGGTGACTGGACGTGGACGTAGAGATACGTCTGGCATCCACTTAAAATTTGTCACGTGAAGTGCACTTTGGTTGCGCTTTTTTTATGCGCTTTATCTGCACTTTAGTTGCACTTTCTTACTGCACTTTGACTGTGCTTACCTGCGCTTTAGTTGCATTTAAGTTGCGTTTTTTTACTGTGCTTTGGCTGCGCTTTGGCTGCATTTGGCTTAAAGTTCCGCGGACACATTAAATATATAAAGTAAAAAGTAAATCCAATATGTCTACTCCACGTATCAACATTTTATTGGAATCCGGACATACCTCCCTAATAATTTTCCATAAAAATAATCTTATATGCCACAATTTTTTCTTTAAGTATACTATAATATCGACAAATATTCAAGCTTACCTTCAAGAACTTCGGCAGCCACGAATGTGATGAGAGCCGATGAAACATACTGTACAGCAGAGTATGAAGCAGTGACACGAAAACTTAAAATAACACCCACTAAGACCATAATTTCAGATCCAAACAAAATTTGCCTGCCAAAATAGAATACCGCAACAACATTAGAATGAAGATGTTATAATTTGGATTTGTTCTGAGGTAAGAAAAAATTGAAGAGATAAGTTGAGAAGATGATTAAGGCTTCGTTTGGGACGGTTTTTTTACTGCTTCTTAAAGCAACTTTCTAGAAATAATTTTTATACTAAAAAGTTGCTTTAAGAAGCATGAAGAAAGCCATCCCAAACAAAGCTTAAGATATGCTTCATTTTTAATGTTTCAGAAAAACTAATCAGGAAGAAGAGGTGGCAATCAAGCTACAAGCATTGTGTAATGAGCAATTATATTACAAATTTATAATATGGGGACGAAAGAAGGGGGAAATTAGTTATTGAAATATGTAGTCCAGTTTTTTTAAAGAAAGTACAGTAGTTCATGAATGCTGCAATCGATTGACTCTCAACCATCTATGTCATGCATTCTTATTGAAATGAACATTTTTGCCTTTTGGCTTGAGAGAGATGAATCGGCACTCTTCATGTGGCTATTAACAAAAAGTGAAATTCAAAGGTTTGTTGTCATATTATAAATCTTGCCATTTTTTTTTCATGATTTTGTAGATTGCTTCAAGGATCACTCAAAAAAAAAAAGAAAAAAAAAAGAAAAAAAAAAAGAAAATCCTCTAACATTCCATCTGTTGAGATAAGCTCATTCAACGATTGTGGACACACAAAATAAGTGTGTTGTAAATATTGAGGATTGAATAGGGTCTTCCAATATACTCAGTGTTGCTATTATGCTTAGATCCCCTTGCGGTGTTCTCATGATCTAGAGATTTTTCCAGAATCATCTCTCAAGTTAGTGCCTTCACTCATTGTTGAGTTGATGGTTCATTGATTGGTAGTTCTCCTTGTTCCTCTAGTTTTAGAAGTTAGGTCTTCTGATTTATCTAGAGACATGCCTAGGTTAGATATTTGTCAGCTTATTGAGAATCTTGCTATTTTCTCCATGCGATACTACAACCTTATTTGCAAATGCTACAAAAGAACTCTGGAAAGAGGAGAGTTATAATGATTTGTGGGCTCCGAAATTCATGCCCAGGCCTCCCCACTTTCGGGGGAGTTTTAACGTGTTAAATTTTGAGGTAAATCTTTAGAAGACATATTGGGTTGTAGATAAGACACTACTCAGATATTTCACTCTCATTTTGCGAGGACTTTATGATATGAGTTATGGTTTCCTATAGGCACAAGCCATTATAGTTAATTATCCATCCCGATAGCGGGAGAGAACTTTTGATTAAGGCTAGTAGTCAATCATATACATAGAGATACATGGTATCTGGTGTATAGTAGAGATACATGGTATCTGGTGTATAGTAGCAACATGAGTTTGGGTATTTGAAATTTTAACATTTAAAATTAAAATTTTCACCATCTTGCACTTAGAGCGGATGGTGGGGAAGTGATGATAGACCCAATCAAGATCTCATAGTTGCATCGTCCATGGTCATTATGGTCCTTGGTCTACTTAGTAAGAGGAGATAGTCAACCCAACTTGACAAAAGGATCGTTGTCGCCAGCCATATGTTACGTCATTCAAGGGTATCATGTAGACCAGGAGTGGATGTTTGTCTAAGGGGACAAATTGAATCTACCTTAACTAATAGAGGGTTTTGTGTCCTATCTATTATATCATATTGATTCATATATCAAAAACTTAGTGTTATTGGGGAGCATACGGGCTATGACCATGATTGTAATTTAGTAGTGCCATTTGGCGGCAAACCACCTAGTTCAAAGGACCCCAGTCATAAACATTTATATGCGTCATTATTTGGTGAAAAAATCACCGGCTAGAGAACATGTGTCACTTCATTGCTGGAAAGAGACCGTTTGAGAATGAATCCTATTAATATCTCGGACATTAGCTTTTTGTGAGTTGAATTGATTTTTAGATTTGTCCAGCTTAGCAAATAATTGCGGAGAGTGGATAGGTTTTGCTTTAAGTATTTTGATGATTAATTTCATTTTTTAAATATTTGAATTTAGGAAGTTTTTTAGAATTTTGAGCTTTCATGAGTATTTGGGTGGCATTTCATATATTTGAAATTAACCCCTCCAGCTGAGATCTACGTTCAACACGATCATCATCAGGGTATTCATGGGCAATTGTATTTTATTGATCGAACTCTATCGACTCCGTTAGTTGCCAAAAAAGAATAGGGTTCAAGTTGGCTACGTGCTTTTATTAATGAATTTCTCTAGTTATAGGCTTTGAAGACCTAATATAAACATATTATAAATAATATCTCAGTCGACGTCGTGGCCGTATATTTGTTTGATAGTTCGAGTCATGTCGACTCCTATCCACTCACATAGGAGGATCATATTAGAACTCAAATTTATCATTTTGACCCGTGTAGCATTCTCAGACGTCACTTGTGTACTCATAACATGATCGCTAGAGCCCATACAGGTGTATGATTGCATATACAGTTTTTTTGTGTTATATTTGAGTACCTACACGCACATTTATGTTTTCATCTATAATGCACTGACACTTCTCCTCAAAGAGGCATGCAGTGTCCAACATCGTATCCGACATGACACGCGTCTAACACTCCGACACGTGTCGGACACATCGAAAACGTGTCCAATTAAAAAAAAATATTAAATACAAATTAGACACGCGTATCCGACAAGCTTCTCTTAAATATTTTATGAATTTTATAAAATATAATTTCGTGTATTTAAAATTTTTTACATATTTAAAATATAAAAATTAAATTTCTTATTTCTTATCCACAATACCAAATCAATCACCCTCTCAACATCGACGATAAACACCCTCTTAATATTGATGTCCAATATTTATTGCATAACATCAATTCCCGACTCTTGACAACATTGTCATCTCCTCCCTTGATGACTGATAAACTGCATAGACGTCCGACTCTCGATATCCTAATATTAATCATTTTAAGTAAAAATTCTAGTTAAATGACTTATTATTTCTAAATTATTTTTAAAATTATACATATTTAATTTTTTTACAATATTTTTAAAATATAAAAACTATAATACCGTATCCAACCCGGGTATGTGTCCTATATTTTCAATAATTGACATGTCCCATGTACGTGTCGTGTCTGTGTCGCCTTGTCCGTGTACGTGCATCATAGGTTTTCATTCGTGTATTGACGTGCTTTATTGACGTGTGCACTTCGGCATTTGGGTGTATACATGTTTTAATATATGCATGGGGGCATTTTTTAAAATATTTGGTGCATAACAATTGCGAGGGCAATTGTCATTTGAACACGTGTGACGCTCTATTTGAGAGCTTGTAGACACCTTATGTCCGCTTGCGTGGATGTTGTGGATCTGGTGGCGTGGCGTCATGGTACGCTTGGTCATGTTTGAGAATTTATAAACGCCTTATGTCCGCTTGTATGTGTGTTGCGGATTCGGTGGCGTGACGTCATGGTGCATTGGGTCTCATTTTAGAACTTATAAATGCTTTATGTCTGCTTGCATGGATGTTGTGAATTCGGTGGCGTGGCGTCACTATGGTCATTTGCCCTTTTCATACAAGTAGATTATCGTGCACTGCTTACTGCTTTCTGTAGGTAGATTGCTGTGCACTAACGAATCTCCTGCTATTACTTGTAGATGCTGATATCTGCTACAATTATTTTGTATTTACTTGTATGCAACACATAGTGCATACAACGGGTCTTCTAGGGCCCATGGGTACTTGCATTTTATGCATATTTCCCTTACCAGCTTGCAATGGATCGACACATTTGCAAGCAGTTGAGTGGTTGTCAGCTATGAGGGCGTTGTAACATCCATTGCTTGTTGTTGATTTATCTCCTGTCATTGCAGACGGGTGTTTGCATTTATCGTTTGCTACACTATATATATTTGCGATGAGTTGACATGTTCACATGCAGGCTGATGTTGACTGTAGGGAGATTGCACCATATGTTGCATGACTTGCTATGCATATGAACATGTCATTATATTCTTCAGTCTCTTTGAGTGTACTCATAGAATAATTATCAGCGTTATTATTTGCAAGTGAATTTATACGTTCATCTGCGTGTCACAGTTGGCTATCGACGAGCTACATTCATCACTAATTCTTCATACATGTTGGTTAGTAGGTTTTTGCATTTGCTGAAGTCCTTTTATATCTACCTACATATGGCATATAGTGCACGTGATGGGTCTCCTATAGAGGCTCGTAGGAGATTGTATTTGTTGTAGTCTTGCAGCATATCTATCATTACCGCTTACAGATAGGTAAACTTGTTTATTCGCAAACAGATGTTGATTGCTGGGTGAGCTGTATTCATCACTGTTGCGCATGTGATAGATCATCTACTATTGCTTGCAAGTATTTCTACTCTAATATACAATCGGGTAAATCTTTTATTATTACCTGTAGAAAATAATGTTAGGATAGTGAAGTAAGTTAAATAAATGAGGGGTTATTTGGCTAGGAGGAGGAAAGACAGAGGAGCTGCGGCTGATTTGCAGCTCTCGGTTGGAGGGTTATGAGAAAGGGGCCGACTGCAACTGTGAGGGGAGCATTGTTGGTGTGTGAGATTTGCCTGGATCAGAGGGAAGTTGAGGGTCAGATGGTTGACTGTAGGGAAACGTCAGATTATGCAGCTGTAAGTGGAGGCTAGCGTCGGACAAGCGTCGTGAATGAGAGAGAGGAGGTGTTCAACTGTGTCGACGGGTAGAGGATTATATGTCTAAGGTTACACGAGGAAACGAGATCAGGAGGCTTCGACTTGCAGGAGTCAAAGTAGGAGCTGAAGTTCAGGTTTTGTCTGGCGTGAGTGGTGTCTGCTGGGATCCGGAGCTCGGAATAAATGCAAAGGAAGAAAAAGTGGTCGCAGAACCTCTAACTAAAGCTTTTTGTAGTATTATAAGAAAACCAAATTAGATGTTTCCGCAACATAACAAATATTTAGGAGCTAGGGTAATAAATGTTAGCATGCTGTTTACGTCATTAAAGAAATTGCTAGAGATGGACTATAATTAACATACGTTATCACATTAAAAATAAACCATTTACTAAAAACTATTTGATATGTTACCTGTCTTCGAACAAGTTGGTTATATAACTTCCAACCACAGCATTTACAGGAAGGACTGTTAGGCCAAGAATTGCTAAGAAAATGGCCACTGCACTCGTAGTCCAGCCAAAATATAATGTGGTTACGAGACTTGATTCCGATAACAAAATCTCCATTGCATACTTTAGCATAAAATAAATCAATAATTGAACCTACAAAATCAAAATATATCAAAATCAGAAATGTCATCAAAATGATCAAAAGAACATCATTAATCTCTTTTAAACTTATCGAATTAACAACCAAAGTATTCTTCAAGAAAGCTCTGCATACAGATAATTAAAAAATTCACAACGAATGAACCATACGAAAATGTGGAAGGCATAACAATTATTGGCTTCCTACAACTAAGTAGAAAAACAACTGTAAAGGTTTACTAATAATAGTAATAGTAAAAAGAATATCAACAAAAATGCAAAGAACAATGATAAAATGGCGGTAATAATAACTATAATAATAATAGCAATCGTAATTTTAGTAGCACTAACTTGCATATCATACTACAACAACAAAATTACATATCCAATATAACGATAAGACTTGAACATTCATGTCTAATGGTTTGTTGGTATAAGAGTTAAAAGCAAACCTTTACAGATGGTGTTAATAATCTATAAGCTGAACCAATGGAATTTGCTGGTACTTTCAAAGCCTCTTCACTATCGTCGCATTCTTTTTCTTCGTCTTCATCTTGATTTTCTTTCGAACTGGACAATAATGATTGGCGAAGTCCACTTTCTAATTCAGCACTTTCGTTGCCCCCTGATTTTTAAGATAAAATTATTTTGTTAAGTTATTACAATTTATCAAATTATTTAAAAGAAGTTTTAAAGAAGAAATATTTCTTTGATATAGAGTAAAATTTAATTTCATTAATGTTTCCTCAAAATACAAAAACTTCATTTACTTCTCTTTTCTTTGAATTAAATTTTATAAAATCAAGAATTTACTTAAAATCTTGGAAGACTTTATATTATACAAAGTCTAATAACTAACAAATAATGCTTTCATTTAGGTTAAAGATTTGATGCACTTGAGAAGATCATAAAAACGATCTTGGTAAATTAAGAAAGCACATTTACTCTAAGAGAGGTTTGAGCGACGTTTGAAACACTTACTATTTGAAACTAAAAACTCAAAAATAATTAGCCCATCTCCACAATGAAGCTATGTAGACAGCAAGAATGTAAATAACTTCGTTCATATAAGCACAAATGTGAATAACAGTTGTCTATGAAGTTATAAACAAAGTTAACAGAACCTTTTGACTTTAACTTTTTTTTTAACCCAAGAAGCTTTAACTAAAACACCACTGAATGATAGCACAGTTCATCAAAAAGAGAATTTCCACCATTGAAAAGTGGCTAGTCCCTATACATGATAACATGAAGTGTGAGTAACTTTTTTTTTTTAGTTCTCAAGTATAGTATAGACTTTCTTATTTCTTTCCATGCATAATGCAAGTGCAATTTAAGTTGCATATGACTAACAGAGAAGTAACTATGTCTAACAAAAGTATCAATAGATTTGATTTGATATGAGAGCAAAACTTTGAGTTTAGCATCAATATCACAGAACCTACTTTTTGTTCAGGCACCATATATCCTTAAGACCTCTGTTTGAATATTGATAATATTGTTGCCTTTTATAATTCTATGAAATTTTATTGAATTTGGATCAACCCGATAAACCCATGGGAACCTTTACATTTTGAAACACACAGTAAAACAATCATTTCGAAGGTATAATTATGAAATGAAGAAAATCAGTGAAGTTGTCAAAAACACAGAAGATGACCTAGTAAGATACCGCTTACCAGCATTAAGATTTTGATGGTTTCCCTCGACAACTTGGGATGGTTCTTTAAATGAAAACCATAACCATAGCATATACACAAGCCAAGCGAATGCCATAACCCATCCTGGTAATGTATTTTGATTGATTGTGATAGCATAAAGTTTAAATTTCATTTGGAGCAAACCAGCAAGTGCAGGGCCACAAGCCATTCCAAGAGCACTTGCACTAACAAAACCGGCAGAAGCCTTCATGCGAGTCTTAAAAGGTACACAATCACTGATGTATCGACGATTAACTGCCCTAGCAGAGCCCAACCTATACATATAATTGATAAAAACATTATATGAAAAGAGATATATAAATAATTTAAATTGAAGAACCATAAATAAAAAGATAAGTTTACACCCAATCAAAAGTAAAATTTTGTATCACTGCCAAATCAGCAATACTATATCATCAATTAAAATAGTGTTCACAGGACAATATAGGATTAAGGAATCACAAATTTAAAGCTTTGTAACATAAGAGAATCCTAGAACAACTTTCTTCCTAAATCATGCTCATAATCAATATAGTTTTTCTATTGATATAGCATCAAAAATCATCTTGACTGAGCACGAATCTTAATGCATGTTTGAAATGAAAACTTTCAAAATTAAATTTAGGATCATCCAAACTTCGATTTCAGCAAATTTATGCTCAAACTGTGCATCTCAATGAGACAAACCTAACAACACCAAAAGTGGTCCAATCCAAGTTCGATTGAGCCCAACCAACGTACTTGAGCATAATTAAAACTTGAAGATATTAATTAGATGACCAAATGATATAAAAAACTTGCAAGCTTATAGCCATATCGAGTGTCTTTACGAGAAGAATCCAACTAGCCCAATATCGTTTAATTCTAACATCATTAAGGCACTTAAATGCTAAAGGAGCAATCAACGATTATGGAAATCAATACGGGTTGTCTAATGTAGTGCTCCAGAATTTTTTATATACTTATGTTATTTGCTACTCTTAAAAATATACAAATAGGCTTCCACTCTCTACATGAAAGGGATCGGGGGCTTGGATTTGGGCTTGAGATTTAAAAGAGCTCAAAGGCTCTAAGAATTTTAGAGATCCACTTGAGCAACATCGCCAAACTACGATCCAATCGTCGTCAGACCACCACCTTACTGATGTCGTCGAAACATCAACCGATTAACACCGTTGGACCAACACTTGACCTTCACCATTGGGTAATCGTTTGACTGCCGCCTTTGGAGCATCCCTAGATTGTTGTTGTGAAATTGCCACCCAAATGTCACTGTAGATGTGGCTCCTTAAATAAAAGAAGCTAAATTCTTAAATACCAAGACACCTTTGGTGTAATGGTTGAAATTTCATTAAGAAACCCCACAGTTAAGCATGCTCATCCCTGCGAAATCCTAGGAAGACTAACCTCCTGAGAAGTTACACTAATATGATAAAACTGTGAGGCCTTTAGGCCAGAGTAGACAATATCTCGATAGTTAAGAGTTTGGACTGATACAAATGATATCAGAGCAAGACGCTATGCATCATTATAAGTCCAAATCACTATCGTCTTCGCCATAACATAGATATTGTAGTGATTTAATCACAGTGAAGATTTTGGAACGGTTAGGTGTCCGTTTTGCAAATCAATTTCACTAAATTTTTTTAAATAAAATGAGCTAATTTATGGATATTTTTCTATAATTTTTGAAATCCCAAAAAAGATTTATATGAATTTTATACTAAAAATTAATTAAATTATTCTTATATTATCATCCGTTGACTTCATCACCTACCAGTATGAATAATACCAATGCGTGTTGTTATTTATAATATCAATGCATGTCATTGACACCAACTATGAATCTCAAAATCAACACATAATCTATGCTAGACTTCTTGGTCTTTGATTTCCTATTCTCAAAGGAATAAGACTAAACAAATAAAGATACGTTCTCTTAGAAATAGCTTCCATGACATAGGATCTTCCAACTTTAACTGCGTAGTATATTGTACATTGTATAGTAACTACATTGAATCAATGTTTTACATTAAGGAATGACATCATTTGTAACCGACTATAACCACTAGTGCGATCATTTTAACTGACATAAAAAACTCTAATGCCTTATAATTCTTGAACTCCGCTCTTATTTCTATGTGTTGGAACATCATACAAATGTCGAGACAAGTAACTCTCCATCTCTCTACCGCTACGAATGTTCAACATCTATGCTTAATGCATGTTGTGATATTTGAATTAAAACATTACTCTTTACATTGTCATTTAATTGTGTCCATTGAAGTTGCAGGGAAAAAGTAAATATTGATAAAAAAAAAGTGTAATAGATTTTGAAGAGCAATTTATTTACTTATCTCCCAATAATACTCTTTTAAAAAATAAATTAGGAATAATGCAGCTTATCTCCAATATCTAGGCCAAGTTTCCATTAGAAATAATTTAACATCATTAAAAAAAAACTCATGTAACTTGTTCATCATTTTTTCATCTCGTAGTTAATTATGTACCATCACAAATTTGTCGAAGAATTCATTTACGTTTCAGATATAAAGCAATTGAGCAAAAAATATCGATGCTAGAGATAAAGAAAAGCCCTGTATCAATAACAATATTTATTAAAATGTCGGCACAATCATGCAACAAAAAAATTCACATATTGATATGAGACTCGTACAAAATATCCCACTTTAATGGCATATTAGAAAAGCTTTACTTACCCACATAAAAGGCGACCGAATAAAAGAACCACCAGAGAGTTGAAATCATAAGCCAATGCATACAACGTGTTGCCTATTAGAAGCATGACGCTGCTAAAAAGAAGAGGTTTGTAGTATGATCTATTGGACCATGCACTAAAATAAACTGAAGAAAATACTTGCGCAACAGCCATGGACCCAATAATTACTCCGCAAACTGTTGCTGCAGCTCCAAGGCTTAACGAATAATCATCTGCAGTGGGAACAATAATATACGTATTGACCATGTATAAAAATGTGTTTGCCAGATTCAGTAGAAGTGAAATGAAATGATATCTTTCATCATCAACATGGTCTTCTTCAGAACTTGGTATATCATCTGGAATGATAAGAGCACGTTTTCCCAAAAATTGGAGGAAGTTTGTTGAATGGGTCAGTTTGTCCACGGATGCATTTATCAAGTCTATAACTGGGTCCTATACAAAACATATTATTGGAATAAGCTTAACTGGACAACAAATATTATTTCGAAAAGAGTTATTCCAAAGAAAAAACCCGGTTTAAATAGCATAAAAATAAAGAAAACCTTCAAAACAATTGATGGATCATCATAAATAGACATATAGCTGCCTTGTTGATCTTGAACATCTGTAAGATTGCGAGATAAAGCTCCTACAACTGCGCCGATACCCTGATTGTTATAAAACATGTATTAGGAATGACAACTATAATACTAAAAATATATAGTAAATATGTCAAAAGCAAGTCATCAATAGGGAAATAATTAAATATAAAAAGGAATACTATCAACTTCCTTATGCAGGGTACACTGCGGAATTCTTGGAGAAAATTGAAATAAATGATTTAAAAAACATAGCAAACAATGATCACAAATTATGGATGCTGATTCCTTGAAGCCTCAGAAGTACTAAAACCTCAAAACATAAAACAAAGAAGCCAATGCAAGGGCTGCAGCGATTTTTTATTAACTCCTCTTAACAAGGTTTTTATAAAGAATATAAAGCAATTTATAAAAATAGCCCAACAACTAAAAGTCCAAATTACCCCAAAGGCTTATAACATTCTATTAATCATGAAAATAATAAATAATATTAAAAAAATTGCTAACTCTGAATAAATTAAAACGTAAATACATAAATCTGATATATCTAGATCATGATTAATTGCACAATAGATGACAGTTGCATTATTCCTCCAAGAACGAAATAAATATCTTTTGGACAATAAGAGCGATTGAATCTCTCTAAAAGATCAAAAAAGCAGAATCCACTCTATCAGAAGAAGCCTGAAATTTCTTAAAGCTCAACGGCAAATGCCACCCGTAGAAGCATCCGAAACAGGAACATCTTAACCTTGTTGTAGAGCACGATCAAATTCAAGTCTTGATGCAATGTCTTTAAGATGGACTCTGCTTCATGAATATCAAAGAACTTGAAGGAAAAAGACATTGTTGTGTTTTCTTCTTTTCTTTTTTTTCTTTTCTTGTCTATTTGCTTTCCTATATGCTTCCGGTTTTTTCTTTTAAATGCAAAATATCTCGCTACAAGAAACCAAAGGAAGACTAGCTTAGCTTGCATGTGATAAATCTGAAGGGAAACACTCCTTAAAAGAACAATTCTTATCCTTTAAGATGAGTACATTAACAACTTAAAGATTTGAGGATTGTCAAACAATTTGAAGGAAAAAGATCTTGTCTTGTTTTCTCTCTCTCTCTCTTTCTTTTCTATTTACTTTACTATATGTTGTTATGTGTGGAATCTGAATGTGTTGATCAATTGGGTTGTTCTGTTATCTCATACCTCAATCGCTCTTGCTTTCTTAAGAAATAGTTAAATTAAATGAAAAAGTGTCAAAACATAAATAAAACGGTAGAAACCGAAATTGATTTTTCCCGTTTCTTTGAAACCTTTGAAACTGGATTTTCTTTTTCTGGTTTCTAGGAAACCGGAATTGTTATTTCCGGTTTTACTTATTCTTAAATTTTAAGTCCCGTACGCTCACACTTGCAATAAAAATTATTAAAATGCTCATTTATAAAAATTATCCAATACCAAGATGATTTCCTATAGGAATCTGTTAGACCGGTCCACTGGACCGGTCCAGCCGGTCCAGGCGGGACCGGTTCACGGGCGAATATCGCGAAACAGGCGATTTGTTCGTTTGGGCGGAGCCCGCGCGCACCGCACGCCTTGCGGGAGCCGAATAGGAAGCTTTTTTGGGGAAATTAAGAGGGGAATTTGAATGTAGGGACTGTTTAGGGATTTCCTTTTGATTTTATGCATTAAATAGTAGATTTTCCTAGGGTTTGATCTCTTGGAATTT